GGTCAGATGCCAAATAAGGACCAAGGGCAGGCTGTGGACCGGGGGCAGCCAGAGTCTGTGGAGTCCGGGGGCAGCGCTGGAAGAGAGGAAAGAACTTGACTTCAAGCCAGACCAGGCTCTGTGTGATTGGTCCAGGTCCGCCCTTATTTGCTCATGACCTGGGGCTATGTACCTAACCTCTTTGTGTTTCCACATCCCCTCCTGCAAACCAAGGCTCCTGAGAGCATCAACCTCCCAGACTGCTTGTGAGGATTAGAAATAATTCTTTCAGTATTTGCTAGAAACCATCTAAGTGGCAGCTGCTTATCTAGCTGTGAAAGATCAGTGAACTGGACACACTTCTCATGGATCTTCCATGAGACACTAGACAAGCAGAGCAATTGTCAGGTAGTGGTAAGTACTCTGCAGAAAGTAGCAATGGGATGGAGAGATGCGAAGGGGTGGACAATAGTTTTAATGGGGTGGTCAGGGAAGGCCTCCCCGAGAAGGAGACATCTAACATAAATCAGAGTAAAGGGCCGTGGAAGTTAGCCCTTTCAGAAGGGCCCTGACCTCTACAGCACACCCCCTTCCCCAAGGTGGGAGGAAAATGAACAGGCATGGGCTTCATTAAGTCTTTCTAGGGCATGAGGCTCATGTCTGTGGCTTCCAGCCTGCTCCTGATTGCTTGTTGGTCAGTGATCTCATTTGGGGAACACACAGAGAGCAGACTCCCCTATGTGCTAGGGATTCCTGTTGCAGATACTTCTGACTTCTCCATCTATCAACAACACACACCAACACTGAACACCTGATATGGCACCATACTCCCAAGTGGTCAGTCAACTAACTACCAGTTGGCAGACTGATTATTGTGTTCACCATTCATTAGGGAAAGGTAGCTCTTCGCACTCCAATAGATATTGATTCTGGATATGGATCTTCCTTCCCACCCATAGATAGTTGATAAAACCCACATTCATGGATTTAGAAAATGCCTTATCCACTGTCATGGTATTCCACACAACATCACTTACAAACAAGGAAATTGCTTCTCAGGGCACATGCGTATGAAATTCAGTAGGTTTATTATCTCCTCATCCTGAAGTGACAGTTCCAAAAAAGTCCTGGAATGGTCTTTTAAAGCCACAATTATTGTTCTAACTTGGCAGCTCCTGCCCAGTGTGGGGAGATGGAACCTGACTGGTAAGGACACAGGGTTGCAATGACACAAGACCCTGAGGAGGACTATGTCCACGATGTTCGGGTTCTTCTCAGCACTCTCATGTTGGTGATTAAAGTCAAAGGAAAATTATAACAACCCAGTTCAGGCAGGATGTCTAACGGTCGGTCCATCGGTAATTAAGCTGTGAGTCATCCCCTCAGGCCAAGCCATACGACCAGCTGACGGGCTGTCTCAGGCAAAAGGAAAAGAAATGGAGAATGTATAGGGTGCTGGCTGGCTCAGTCAGGGGAGCACGTGACTCTTAATCTCTGGGATGTGAATTCCAGCCCCATGTTGGGTGTAGAGATTATTTAAAATATAAAATTTTTTAAAAAGAAATGGCTAGTGTAGAAGACACTATAAATACCAGCTACAGGCCTGTGACCTGCTGAGGAGCTAGGATATATTGTAAACCGATGGCTTAAGGGCATTTCCCCACCTTGGGGGGAAAACAAACAAACAAAAATTATCCCTATAAATGCATAGATAAAGCAAATTTTACTAAAAGACATTTATAACATTAAAGTTCCAATGCTTTTTCTTAGCCTCAAGAAGACAATTTTCTTAACTAACATGTGCTAGAAGGCATCAACAATATCTGGTGCCATTCTAGGATTAAACTGGTTCAGGTTACACATTGGTAACTTGATGACGGAATTATAAGTTTGGGGTGTGATTATCTTTCTTGACAAGGTGGTAAGATTCTAATTTTTATACTGCTTTCTGTAGGTGCCTTATTAAGTCTTGTCTTTTAAATCTGAAAATAAAGAGAGAAGTCACCAACCAAAAGACACCCAAAGAGCCCATAATGTGGGAGGCTCTGTGGGGGATAGAAAAGGGAGCTTACAATCTACAAGAGAGTAGAAAATGGACTATTGTGGTAAGGGACAATCCAGCAAATACAAAGAGTGTCAGTTCAGGGTCAAGGCCTACCTCAAACTCCAGCGTGAACAGAAGTCTCCTTGAATTTGGAAGAGTGACTGAGACTCAGATAATATCAATCTAAACAACAAGAGAGACAACATGAAATCTGAGGAGGACCAGGGTTTGAGAAATGCCAGGCAGGGCCCAACACCACCTCTCACCCAGCTCCACACTGGGCCCCACTGTGCTACAGAGTTTCTCTCTATACCCACCTTGCTGTTTCCTAGACAGAAAATAAAACAAAAGTTTTCCCAAAATCTAGAGATCCTTCCACTCCTTCAAGCAATTTGAAGACTCTTTCATATTCTGGAGATATTTAGTAAAAAAAACTTCAGTATTTCTAAAGTACAAAGAGGAGGTAGAACTCAATCTTGGTGTCGCAGCAATCATGCAAGGGCTAGAATGTTACAGAGTACCTGTGTTTTCCATGGTTACATTCAGATACCTGAGCAGATCCACCAATGGAACTCTGGTACACAATAACCAATTAAGAAATACAAAAGAAAACAACAGAAAAAGGTTTACTGGGATATTTTAGTCAAAATAAAAAGGAACCCAGAACAATCTATACTTTCAATGCCATCCCGATCGAAATATCAATGGCAGTTTTCAATGTGCTGGAACAAACAATACTAAAGTTTATATGGAATCAGAAAAGACCCCAAATTGCCAAGGAAATGTTGAAAAAGAAAAACAAAGCTTGGGGCATCACATTGCCTGATTTCAAGCTATATTACAAACCAGTGATCACCAAGAAAGCATGGTACTGGCACAAAAACAGACACACAGATCAATGGAACAGAATAGAGAACCCAGATATGGACCCTCAACTCTATGGTCAACTAATCTTCGACAAAGCAGGAAAAAATATGCAATGGAAAAAAGAAAGTCTCTTTAATAAATGGTGCTGGGAAAATTGGACAGCTATATACAGAAGAATGAAACTCGACTATTGTTTTACACCATACACAAAGATAAACTCAAAATGAATGAAAGACCTCAATTTGAGACAAGAATCCATCAAAATCCTAGAGAACATAAGCAGTAACCTCTTCGACATCACCCACAGCAACTTCTTTCAAGATACATCTCCAAAGGCTAGTAAAGCAAAAGCAAAAATGAACTTTTGGGACTTCATCAAGATAAAAAGCTTCTGCACAGCAAAGGAAACAGTCAAAACAAAGAGGCAACCCACAGAATGGGAGAAGATATTTACAAATGACACTACAGACAAAGCACTGATATCCAAGGTCTATAAAGAGCTTCTCAAACTCAACACCCAAAAAGCAAATAATCAAGTCAAAAAATGGGCGGAAGACATGAACAGACACTTCTCCAAAGAAGATATACAAATGGTTAACAGACACATGAAAAAATGTTCATCATCATTAGCCATCAGGGAAACTCAAATCAAAACCATGTTGAGATACCACCTTACACCAGTTAGAATGGCAAAAATTGACAAGACAAGAAACAACAAATGTTGGAGAGGTTGTGGAGAAAGGGGAACCCTCTTACACTGTTGGTGGGAATGCAAGGTGGTACAGCCACTTTGGAAAACAGTGTGGAGGTGCCTCAAAAAATTAAAAGTAGAGCTACCCTATGACCCAGCAATTGCACTACTGGGTATTGACCCCAAAGACACAGATGTAGTGAAAAGAAGGGCCATATGCACCCCAATGTTCATAGCAGCAATGTCCGCAATAGCCAAACTGTGGAAAGAGCCGAGATGCCCTTCAATAGATGAATGGATAAAGAATATGTGGTCTATATATACAATGGAATATTACTCAGCCATCAGAAAAGATACCCAACTTTTGCACAAACATGGATGGGACTGGAGGAGATTATGCTAAGTGAAATAAGTCAAGCAGAGAAAGTCAATTATCATATGGTTTCACTTATTTGTGGAACATAAGGAATAGCATGGAGGACATTAGGAGAAGGAAGGGAAAAATGAAGGGGGGGAATCGAAGCGGAAGACGAACCATGAGAGACTATGGACTCTGGGAAACAAACAGGGTTTTAGAGGGGAGGGGGGTGAGGGGATGGGTTAGAACAGTCATGGGTGGGGCGCCTGGGTGGCTCAGTTGGTTAAGCGACTGCCTTCGGCTCAAGTCATGATCCTGGAGTCTCAGGATCGAGTCCCGCATTGGGCTCCCTGCTCAGCAGGGAGTCTGCTTCTCCCTCTGACCTCCCCCCTTCATGTGCTCTCTCTCTCTCATTCTCGCTCTCTCAAATAAATAAATAAATAAAATCTTCCAAAAAAAAAAGAACACTGATGGGTATTAAGGAGGGCACGTACTGCATGGAGCACTGGGTGTTATACGCAAACAATGAATCATGGAACACTATATCAAAAACTAATGATGTGATGTATGGTGACTAACATAACATAATAAAAAAATGAAAACAAACAAAAAGAAGAGGAACCATGCTAAATAAATAAATAAATGAATAAATAAATAAATAAATAAAGATGTATAATTAAAAAAATAAAGCTCTTCTAGGAACTCCCATGTTTCTGAATAGTTAATGGGAAATTACAACAACACAATGCAGGCAGAACACCTAATGGTCCAGACCCTCCAGGAATTAAGGTGTGAGTCATCCCATCAGGACAAGCACCAGAATCAGCTGAGGGGTTGCCCTAGAAAAAGGGAATAAGAACTGGGTAGACAGTGCTGGGTCATAATAGCCAATGAGACACAGAATACACAAAAGAAACAAAAACTGTAATAGTATTTACTTGATGACTTAATAATATCCCCAAACTCAGTGGTGAACACACACAAAAACACCAAATTAGTCATTCAAACAAAATGCGTATGGCAAAAGCCCAGCTTTTACTAAGAGAAACTTATAACAGGAAAGTTGCAATGCATTTTCTTAGCTGCAAGAAGACAATTCCTAACTAACTCATGCTGGGAGGCATCAATAGTATCTGGTCGCACTCCAGGACAGCCAACTGGTTCTGCTTTCTCGTTGATCATTGCGATACCAGGATTATAATTTGGGGGAGCCATCATCTTTGTTGAGAAACTGGTCACGTTCTAGTTTACCTCGTACCTTCCCAAGGTGACTTATTAAGTCTTGTCTTTTAAATCTGAAAATAAAGAGACAAGTCATTAACCAAAAGATACCGAAAGAACTTATGATGCAGGAGGCTCTGTAGAAAATGCAAAGAGAAGCTCAATTTACAGAACAGAAAACACATCTGTGTGGTAAGGGACAATCCATTAATACAAAGAGTGCCAGTTCAGGGTCAAGGCCCACCTCAAACTCTGGTGTGAACAGAGGGTTCCTTGAGCTGGGAAGGAGAGACTCAGATATATTGATCTAAATAACTGGGGACGACATGAATTCTGAGTGAGGACCAGGGTTTAAGAAACGCCAGGCAGGGTCTGACCCCCACCCCCCCACCCAGCAGCGCACTGGGCCCCGCTGTGAAACATACTGGACAGTTCCTCCCACTCACCTTGCCGCTTCCTTCATGGCATATGCAACAAATTTTTTCTGCACTTCTGGAGGTCCTTGCACTCCTTCAAGCAATTTTAAGATTTTCTCATATTCTGAAGATATTTAGGGAAAAAAAACCTTCAGTATTTCTAAAATACAAAGAGGGGTTTGAACTCAATCTTGGAGTCTCAGCGATCATTCAGTGGCTAGAACGTTACAAAGTACCTGTGCTTTCCATGCTTACATTCAGATATCAGAACATATCCACCAGTGGAATCTGGTACACAATAACCAATTAAGAAATACAAAAGAACAAGAAAAAAAGGTTCACTGATACATTTCAGTCAAATTAAAGAGGAACCATTCGAACTCTGAAAACCCAATTCTGGCAAAGGATAAGCCTCAAGAGGTCAGTTGAATCTAATCGGATTCATAGAATGGGAAGGACTTCCTGTGGTTTTGTGGACAGATATTCTTATTCTACTTACTTCCAAACTGTCGAATTTCTTTCTTCAATTGCTCTTTTATTTCCATATTGATTTCCACTGGTATCGGCAGTTTATCGGGCACATCTCCCGACATTGCGGTGACCTTGGGGTCATCTGCAGAGAGACAGCTGGGAATGAGTCCTCCCACCAGTGCATGATGACCAGGTTTGTGAATGAATCGGCGCCCCCTTGCTGACGCTGGCTAAGTCATGACACAAAGAATCCACCTGACTGTGTGGAACACCATCTCCTGCCATATTCATAAGGTCTGGAGGAACAGGTTTGGACCAGAAGCCATCAGGTGGGGATCGACCACTTTCTGTCCCCTCCCGGTGGATACCGTGAAGCACAGGTGCATCTGGAAACCTAATTGAACCTGGACTTGCAATGACGTGCATTTCAACAACCCCACACGTACATCCATGGACTGCGCAGTCTCTAAATTTTCATTTCGTAGCAGGAGAATGTACCAGCTAGATGTATCAGATCTGAAATTTGACCCCAGGAAAAAAGTGCAAGAAAGAATCTCTTCTATTCTTGTCACTACGCACCCACACAGAAACAGACTTGGACAGTGTAACCAATTAGCAAACATTCACAGAGCCCTGGCACTCATGATTTAATGTTCCCTTGATCCCGTCTACAAGGGGAAAAGGTGAACGTGTCACTTGATGTCAGGATGCCTGATATTGGCACTCCATCACTAGAAATCCCAGTCACTAAATGATCTTCCTCATCTGGCTTTTCTCTCAGAAAATGCATATTTTTCCTTCAAGTTTGACACGTCTACTTCATTCATCCAGGCCTGGGGATCAGGAGTGAACCAGACAGAAGAAACCCTTTCCTTTTGGAATGCATAACCTCCTGTGGACGTCAGAGAGTACATGCACAATGAGCAAAGGGAATGAAACAGTTTGTGTTGGGAAGGAAGGAAGTCAGCAGGGACGTGAGCGAGAGCAGGAGGCGAAGCGTCCATGATGCGGGGTCGGGCGGGGCCCCCCTGAGGAGGTGAGCCATGGGCAGAGCCAGGAACAGGAGATGGAGGCGGCCTGTGCACACGCAGAGGAGGAGGTCCAGCTGCCGGGAGGGCCGTGCAGGGTCCCTAGGAGGGGACGAGCCGGGGCCGAGGAGCAAAGGACAGAGGCAGAGAGAGCAAGCAGGACACGGAGAGGACGCATGTAGGAAAGGATGACAGGGTCAGGCCGTGCAGGGCGTGGGGACCAGCGTCGGGAGCTCAGACTCTGTTCTGAGTGCTCAGGGGAGTTGATGATGGGTTTCAGGATAGGCAGGTAATGATCTGATATCTGTGTGGACGTGGTCACTCTGGGTGCACGGCAACAAATGGGCTACACAGGGTCAAGTGGGAAGGCAGGATGCGAGCTCAGAAGCTAGTGGGGCAGCTTGCTGAGTGCTGAGGCAGTGTGGGATGAGGGACAGTGTAACAGTGGGACTCAGGAACGATGACAGTGTTAAGAGGAGAGAAGGAAGATCAGAAAGGAGAACGGAGGCAAATTCAATGAGGAGAAGGAAACGAGTAGAGTGCAGAGCTTGGGAAGCCAGAAATGTTTCCAGGAAGGACAGAGTGAACACCTGGTCCAGTGTGGCTGAGAAATTAATGGCAGCCTCACCCAAAGCTGGTGACCTTGATAGGAACTGATTCCGAGGTGTGGAGGAGCCAGAGGCCTGGCTGCCCTGGGTCGGGTCAGGGAGGGGAGGACAGGCATCCTCACCATCTTCCCTGGACATGGCTGAGCCCCCGGGCTGGGATACTCCGTCTCCTTCCTCTCTCACTGGTGGCAGCAGCATGCTCAGCCTTTTCTTAAACGGAAGCAGAATGATGGATTTTCCAGGACGTTTCACTTGGCCTTCGGGCCCAGCAGCGGGCTCCTCTGCGTTATCACTCATCACTTCCTGAGGAGCATCAAGAAACACGTTCCATTAATGACAAAAATGCAAGCGTTCCGGAACAAGATGGAGGTTTCTCAGAAAGTTAGAAAGAGAACTACGTTATGAAGCAGCATTTGCAGTACGAGGCATTTACCCAAAGAATACAAAACTACTGATTTGAAGGGGTACATGCACCCCGATGTTTATGGCAGCAGCATCTACAAAAGCCGAACTCTGGGAAGAGTCCAAAAGTCCACCGACTGATAAGCGGAAAAAGAAGACGCGGTGTACATACACAGTGGAATATTACTCGGCCGCCAGAGACAATGACATCTTTTTTTTTTTTTTTTAGAGACAATGACATCTTGCCTCGCGCAACGACGCGGGTGCAGCTAGAGAACAGAATGCTAAGCGCGGCAAGTCAGCCAGAGGAAGGCCAACAGCGAACGATTTCCCTCATATGTGGAATTTAAGAAACAAACAGATGAGCATGGGGGGACAAAAGAAGGGCAAACCGGGAAACAGACTCCAGACTCCAGAGAACAGAGGGATACTGGAGGGGAGGTGGGCATGGGGACGGGTTCAGTGTGTGACAGGGAGGAAGGAGGGCACGTGTGTGATGAGCACCGGGTGTCGCATGGCCGTGTGCGATCGCTGAATTCTACACCCCACACTAAGAGTACACTTATGGTAACTACCTGGAGCTGAAATACAACCTTGAAAAACAATGCAAGCATCCCACCCGTCGGGCCTGGCGCTCGCAGCCTTGTACAGGGCCCTCTTCCACAACGGGTCCGGGGCGCTCCGCCAGGCGCGTCCTCGGCGTGCAGGCGGCTCGTTGGCGAGCTCCCTGGCTACGCCCACAGCTGGAGCGCTTCCTCTGCCGGTTAGGAGAGGCCACGCTGTAGAAAGGCCTTTGCATCTGGGGCCCATTCTGTCACCGGACACCAGAGGAGCTGCAGAAGCCCAAGGCGGGAAAGACACATAAAGACAGTGCTTGTACGGGAAGGGACTCCCCTTGTGCAAGAATCGCACTCGTGGCCTGACCTGTTCACGCTAATGTGGCCACAGCGCCGGGGAACTTGACCTGGTTGTGCATCCCGAACAGGCTGGTCAGGGAAGGCAGCACTGTCAGGGGAGAGGAGATGGGCTGGGAGCGGGACCCCCGGAGCAGGACCCCACCTTCTCCCTTCTAACGATGGTGCGTGCTCCCGTCCAGGTACGGTGGGTGCTCCTGTCTGAGTACGGTGCGTGCTCCCGTCCGGGTACGGTGCCTTCTCCAGTCCAGGTACGGTGCATCTCAGCAGGACAGTGGGGTCCCAGAGGGCATGGAGCTGTTTCCCCTCCCTCAACAGCTAGGAAGAAACACACCCATCCTAGTGACACATCCCTTGGCAAATTCCGGAAGATCACGCCTCTCCAGCCCCCATGGGGCTTGGTGTCCTGAGCAGCAAAGCACAGTGATCCACCTGGAGAGTCAGGACAATGGCTGTGTCCTGAGACTTCCATAGCTTTATGATGCTGGGTGTCTCGGCAGGGGTCCCCAGTTGCGGGATGAGCTAACAGACAGGCCCTACTTCGCGGTCCTCCAAATGTATTAACCTAAAGCTAGGACAGTTCTGAAGTCCACCAGACCAAGGTGGTTTCACTGTTGGCAATTTCATCTGCTGCTTTCATCTCCCAATCTCCTGTTCTACCTTCCTGCTGCCCACAGGTCTCCAGGGGTTGGGAACCTCCACTCCTGTCATGTTCCTTTGCCCAGTTCCTAGACGGTGACCCCGATCACTGTCTATCTGACGAGGGTATGGGTACGCGGTACTCGGCTTCTCCGAGCCCCTCATGACGGCGGTCTCGGTTTGCCCAGTGCGGGAGAGCTGGGATCAGGAGGCATGTGCTGTCTGCACAAACCGGGCCACATGGAGAACCCTCCGTGGGAGCCAGCGGGTCCGTGCAACCACTTGCCCCCGCCTCACCCGTCGGGAACTCGGGCAGATGGACCCAGATCCCACTGGCAGCTGCCTGGGGCACGGTTTGGGACGCACAGGGCAGGCTGTTGCCGCATTAACCAAGTCGCTGATTGTCCGGTCCCGTCGTGCCCGGTGCTGCGCTGTGGTCAGCCTGCCCACGCTCGCCACCTGCTGGATGTGCGGGAGGGGCGGGGGCTAGGGCTCCGCGAGGGCATCGCTTCCTCACGGCCGGGAGTCTCAGCGCCTCGGGAGCCAGAGTGTGGGAAACGGCACAGCCTGGCTGGCGGGCGGTCCCCAATGTCTCCCCACATGTCCTGACCTCACGAGGGCTTATTCGGGATCACCCACCTCAGCTTCCCAGTGTCCCCGCCCTAGCGTCCATCGCTGCGGATCAGGCCAACTGTCACTGCCTAGGGCTCTGGGCCCCTTGCCAAGCAGCCTTCAGCCCGGATCCCACCGCCACGGGATCCCCAGGTGCAGGCGATGCCCTGGCCCGAGGCTGGGATGGGCCCCTATGTCAGTGAGCTCAGGAGCATAGGAGCAATCATCCAGCACTTTCCCCAGCTGGGGGTCCCCCGGCCTGGGGCCGTGCTATTAGGATTTACTTTGTTTCAGGGGTCAGAGGGCACGGGGCGCAGTCCCTGTCCTCATCCATCACCAGCGCCTCCTCCTCTTGACTCCCGAGTCCTCCCTCTTAGCGGCTGTCAGGCTCCGTCCCAGCACGTAGACCAGAATCCGAGGGCAGCCAGTGGCCCGTAACCTTGCAAACAGGCACCTAAAGTCTCCAAGGTGCCATCTTGCTGGCCCGCCTTCTCCCCCCCCCCCCCAGGCCCGAGCAGCGGTGCACCCCACATGCCCTTCTCTCCCCGCAGCTCTTCTTCCACCCTGCTTTCCGAGCCGCGGCCTGTCGTCGGGCACCGGTGGCGGCCCATCTGTCCCCAGCAGAGGCCAGCCTGCCCCGCAGCCACGGGCTTCCCGTCTCTGTCGGGGGGACCCGCCGCAGCTCCCCCCACGAGCGCATCAGACCACCTGGGGCTGTCGGGGTGTCCCCGAGCATCTGGCGGACGTCCGCACTTCCCCACACACAGCCTTGGGGCCAAGCCTGGGACGCACCAAGGATGCCTCCTTCTCCAGCCCCACATCTCTGCTCTCCTGGCCTCTGGCGCCTGCGAGCTCCCTGCAGAGCATCTCCGTGAAATCAGCCCCTGGCCCCTTACAGGGTAGACAAGGACAGACCACGAAAGAGGCAGGCCACTCCA